ATATCAGTGTGAAAAGGATTATTTCTTGAGCTGAAGGTAATATTATTTCTAGACAAGATCTGCAGAGACACAAGTTTTGGCAGACGATGCCCAGAGAGACCGTGATGCGGTAATGCCTGCTATGGAAGCAGCAATAAGAGCACTCGAATCTCTGAACAAGAATGACTTAAATGAACTACAGGTATTAAACAAACCATCGAACCTTGTCAAATTTGTTATGGAAGCTGTATGTCTTCTTTTGGGCAAAAAGTAAGTCTCTGATATTTATTATAGTAGTGAATCGGAACTATACAATTTGTAATTTAACTTTTCTTCTCATATAATATTCCTGAACTATAAACGGTTCTATTTGAAGGTGTAAAAAAATTAGATTTTGCCCGATTTTTTTCCATTGCAGTCAAGGTATTATTTATGTATATGTTCATATCTCATTACTACGAGGCGCGTCCTCAAAGTAAGTTTCCCTGGGGCCGTTTACAGAAACAAAACACAATTTCATGGAAATATTTATTGCAACAGATACAGCAAGTGTCCAGCTATTTTTCAACATATTCGCCACCGGAATTGAGACATTTGTCATACCGTGGGACCAACTTTTGAATACCTGTGTCGTAGAAGTCTGCCGCCTGGGATTGGAACCACTGTGTGACAACCATCTCCGCCTCTCTGTCATTCTCAAAATGCTGACGCTGACCGGACAGGAATTTCTTGAGGTGTAGGAAAAGATGGAAATCACTGGGAGCGAGGTCCGGGCTGTAGGGTGAATGATTAAACACCTCCCAGCTGAACTCCTGCAGGAGACTTGCTGTCCGTCGAGCCGTGTGCGGCCTAGCGTTATCACTGACCGCACTTCACAGTCGGCGGGAGCTGGAATAAGAACCTCCATCTTCAACAGCTGCAACGATGCTACTGTGATAACGCGGGAAGTGCCGTTAGTGCATGCGCCATGCTACGTCATTGCTCTATCACGTACGCACAGTCGCTTTGCGCAATATAAGGTTTGCTAGCTGTGGGACGAGTGGGAAACTTACTTTGTGGACGCGCCTCGTATATGTGTATATCTGTATAATATCCTAACCTTCTTTAAGCATTGTTACCATTTATATGAAAATCTACAGCTGCAATATGATGTCATTACTTTCAGCGTAAGAAGCATTTATTTATTTTTGAATTCTCTGACAATAGTCTAACCTGCAAGTCCGTGCCAGAACATTTGTCGAAAGCGTGTAACCGTAAACTCAAGCATGCAGTGGTTTTTAACTAAATTTGTTTCTTTCTTTTGAATTCTAAGTTAGTTGGGTCTATTATTAAAAAAGGCATACTATTTTTGCCAACAGACTGGACTGGGCATCTGCAAGGCTTGTTCTGGGAGACACAAATTTAATTAAAAAGCTCCGAGAGTATGAAAAAGATAAGATATCTGATGCGTTACTTAAGAAGCTGAAGGAATATGTTGAACATCCAGATTTTCTGCCTGAGCAAGTGGCTACACAATCCAAAGTATGCAGATCTATGTGTATGTGGGTACGAGCCACTGACATGTATGCTAAAGTATGTAGGGTGATGGAACCCAAGAGGAGAAGGTTTGTAGAAATTTATGAACTGTTTCATAAAATAAACACTTGCTTTGTTTTCATTACTTCATTTTATACATTAAATTCTTTATAGATTATAAGAATATTTTTAAAGATGCCAGGTCATTAATTCATATTGTGTGCCATAAACCCATGGAAACTGGGGAATTCATATTGTGTGCCATAAACCCATGGTTTTCACAATTTTGTACTGGGGGAAAATTTAGTTAAATGCATACAGACTAATAGAGAAATCAATAAATAAATTTATTTTGAAATATATTTTCAGAATTTGATGGTATATTTAAAAGGAATATAATTTTATTCTTACTTCTGCTGGTCAGTTGTTTAAGATACTGAAATAAGTTCACAAGCAGATAAAATTCTTCTGATTATGTAATTTATAATTTATCATGCATGGGGTTTTATAGTTGAGAATTAATCTCTTCAGGCTTGAAGAAGCTGAAAAGGAGCTGACTCAAATAATGAGCGTGTTAAGAGAGAAGCAGCAACATTTGGCTGAAGTGGAGAAGAAAATTGCTGATGTAGAAACGTCTTATGACGCAATTTTTGCAGAGAAGACTGAGTTGGAACGAGTCATAGACCTGACTGCGAAGAGACTCACAAGAGCAGGGAGACTAACTTCAGCCCTTAGCGATGAGCAAATTCAGTGGGAGCAGTTGGTTAATGTATGGGACATATTATTATTAATTTAAAGTTATGGAAAAATCAGAGAATGTTGTACAGACGCTGTAATACAGTGTAATTTTGTATTAATAAAATTAAAATGTACTTGAACACTTGCAAGATTGGTACAGTATTTAGATTTCTGGAGATGATTCATAACCACTTTTAAAAACCTTAACATTTCTCTTTACATCAGGATGTCAGTGCCAGTCATGTCACTGCAGTTGGAGATGTGCTTGTAGCAGCCGGATGTGTTGCGTATCTTGGACCATTCACAAGTGCCTACCGTGATGAGCTGATGGGACTTTGGATTTCTCACTGTAAAGAGCTGTCAGTTCCTACATCAGATATTTTCAGGTAGATGGTTCAGAAATGCTGTTAAAACATGTGAAGTTGGCTTCTTTCTGAGTTGTGTAGTTTTACTGAGTTGCCCCTCCCAAACAGAATTAGGATTGAAATGTTTAAACTTTATCAACAGGAATGGGGGATTTATATCCCCATATTATGGAATTTCGAACTTGACTTTTGATACAGGGTTAATGTTGTAGTGGTATGATAGTACAATGCACAGCCAGTTGGACCACAAGTAATCTGCGTTAGACAGAAGATAAATTGGCCTATCCACGTATGAGTCTGACTTGCGAGTCTGGCTCGGCGAGCTTGACTCATGAGCCGGGCTCAGATATATTTCACCACACACGCATAGCAGACCTCGTCTCGTGACACCCCACCCACAAACGAGATTGGATCAATGGAACCCGAGCCGAGCCACTTTAAGGTTAACACACCTTATTTCAGGTTATGGAATAAAATTTAAGTTTTACAACAAAATAAATGACAGTATTAAGATACATTTTGGCAAACAAATGTTAAAAGAAACAAAAAAAATAAGAATTCGTAACATCATAGCATGAGCAGTCCTAAAATATGGTAGTGAGGCCTCAGTATTGAAGGAAAGGTACACTAATAACTGAAAGTTACACGAATGAAGTACAGGCATGAAAAGAATTATTATTAAGTGCTTGAAAAATTGCCATTGAAGTTGAAGACCGCAAAATACATTGTTTGCAACGTGTCTAAAGAATAAAGGACAGGCGGAATAACAAATCACGCACTGGAATGTAAACCACTTGTGCCTAGAGGGTTGCATATTATATCACCACTGCAAAGACTTTAAAGACCAAAGAATATCCCTAGTTGTTATACGTGTGTCTGACTTTAATTTCTTAAGTTTTGTTACAGTTTGGTTGCTGTTCTGACGGATCAATATGAGATCAGACAGTGGAATAAATGTGGTCTGCCAGGAGACAGAGTTTCTGCAGAGAATGCTGTCATTGTAACACATGCTAGAAGGTGGCCCCTTCTGATAGATCCACAAGAACAGGTAAATTATGCAGTCAACTTTATTAGGCCATGCAGTTAATGGTACCTCTTGTGTAACATGGTGTGAAACTGTTATGTAATCAATTATTTATTGGTACTATTTCATGACCCAAGTTATGAATGCAGACATTTCTTTACCTATTTGTATGGTATATTTTGCATTTGCTATGACAGTCAAGTCTACACAGACAGCTATAGTTTGAAGATTTCTGTCTTCTGGGTTATTGCGCTGTGTAGTCTGGTCGATGTCCACTCCCATACCTGCTCCCATTGGCTCGGGGCAGGCTACACCTTTCACGTCCCTG